ATTCATAGAAAATTCCACCATAATTCATAGAACTTAATTCTTGTGATTTAAGATAACAACAAACCCTTACTCAATGCAACTAAGCTTTTCATAGACAAAAAATATTTGCTGATTGTAAAATCAAAAGCAGCAAAACTTAATAAATTGCATCATTCAAAACATAAGACGCTCATAATTCCATCTGCATCAAAGTGCAGCGCTATTCAAGTTTTCCATATACCTTTCTTCTTTGATTTTATTAAATCTCTTGTAATTTGCATATTTTTAAAAAATTTTGTTGCATAATTTCAATTCAGGGATTTCCATAATACAAACAACTTTTTTTCAGTTGACTGGATTTAACTTGAATCCCAAACGATACTTTTGCAACTTTTTTCTTTCTTTCTTTTCAATTACAAACCGCATTGCATTACAAACACTTTCATGCATACATACATATATGTGTATGCACTTATGTATGTAAGTGTATGACCATTGTACTATAGCTTTACGTGCACAATACACCAATATTCTACAATACAACTGACGAACAAGCAATTCCGAATGTGGTGCTGCGCGCAGCAGCTGTTACAATGCAACGTGTGTATTTTTTTTTTTTTACTAAGTGCAAGGCGAAGTAGTTAGGTATATGTATATGTATGTATTCAATCCATTTGCCTTCATGCACTCGTATATGAATGACGAATGAACGTGCATGTGTACGACTAAGCAAGCCAGCAATCATAGAAAATCAGTTTAGAGTTGAATTTAGACCCAACCGGAAATGGTGTGGGTTGTTAGGGGCAGGGAACGGATTTTATGGAAATTGCCTTTTTTCTGCTTAAGTGATAGAGTATTTATATTCGACTAAGAATGTCCACGATTTACCTTTCCCTGATTCCGTATATATACATTTGATGTTGCCTCCTTTTTTAAGATATTTGCCTTTTTTTGCCTTTTCTACCTTTAATTGTAAAGGGCAAGGAAAAAGTCCTTATTCCTGAAAATATGAAAATTTTAAACGTTCCATATTTAAATTGGGCGCCACTTATATCAACTCACGTCGAGCGCACGTTTACTACATTTAAGGCTCGCGAAAATCGAATTAAAATGCTGCCAGAAAACTTCAAAATGCATCTTGTGATTCAATGTTACTACAGAGATTAAAGTTTTGTGGGTTAAAAACTCGAAAAGAGAAAATTGTCAAAGACTCAAAGTCCAAATTTTTCATATCATGAAACTAGTTCATAGTTTTTCTCTTTTTATACAGTGGACAAAAACTACGATTATCTCAACAAGTGAAGTATCTGGGAAACTAAATATTGAAGAGAAAATAAAGAAAGAGAGCATTGCCTATTACTCCCTTAAGCGGCCATCTGAGAAGACAATGGGTGTTAGTCCAAAACTGGTACTCTGAATTTACATAGCGGTTGTGTTTAAGCTATGGTTCCCGGGCATGGTGGACAGCTTTAAAGAGGCATGAAAACTTGCCCTACAAGCGGCCTCAATGTTATTACAAATCTTTTTCCTACAGACCTTCACATAAAGCACACCACATCACTATCGGCTATAAGATTCAGAGAACTGGATGTATGGAAACAATGAACGATCGGCAATAGCAGTATAATTTCTTGATTGCCATCTAAGATGAGACTAGCAACAGGCCTTGCGTCGAGTGTCGACTGGGACGGGGGACCTTAATACCTCTGTCTGGATACATCATCTGTACATCGATGGCTCCAAAATGGAATGCGGAGTTGGAGCAGACGTTTACTCTGAACCCCTGAGATAAAGAAGTTCAATTCATCTTGCCGATTTTGCAAGTGTTTTCTAGCTAGAAGTTTTCGCTATAGCTGAAGAGTCTTAGAACGTATTTGTTTACGTCACGGCATGCGGGTAGCCATTTTCTCAGATAGCCAAGAGGCCATTAAGGCATTGGACACTTTTAAACTCCGTAAGTAGTGAGCTTCATCTAGATTAAGTTTGGGTCCCTGGGCATCGCGGAATTCCTGGAAATAAAGCTGCAGACGGGTTAGCTAGAGAGGGTTGCACATTGGTCTCAATCGAGAATCTGATCTCGCCCCCAATCGGAACCTGTTTTTTTTGGAGATATCATACTCCAAAATCTTCAGAGATTGGATCAAAGGTGCCGGCAGGCTACCGTATATCTAAACTCATGGGGCCCGTATTCAACCCTAAAAGAACGCACAATTAAGAAAGCCAAAATCTGGCATTGCGTAGCCTAGTAGCGATTCTTTCTGAGCACTGGCCGGTTGGAACCCACGCGAGAAGGCTGCTCATCGCTTACAACTACTTCCGTAGAAGCTGCAGAGACGCAAACGTGCAGAAAACTGTAGAGCACCTTCCTCGCAAATGTCCAGCTCTAATAAGGAGAAAGATCATCCAAAGGGCATATGAGTTCACATCGTTACGAGAACTGTCTGATACAAGCCTCCGTAACATACTAAACTTCATCGACAACGCCGCCACCATTCTAACCTTACCTAACCTAGCAGTCCATTCTCGAACTCATCATATACCGCTTTGCTTAGCATTGAAAAGCTAAAGTAATTTGTCTCCGCAGGATTTCACCGAATCAGCACAACCTATGCACTTATTTTGGAATCAAAGGTACCGAATAAAGGATTTATGTATAAAAGATTATGGTACTAAGTAGGTTCAGCTCTTGCGGGACTATATCAATAGTATGACTTCACCTTTGGCCAACTTTGTTATCCCTAATACCGTCAATACCTGTCCCAAGTAAAAGTAATTTTCATGGTAAGCCAAAGAGATTAGATCGAATGGGAGATTCTGATATGAAATAGGACACATAGGCTTTCTTTTTTGACCAATTCAAATACATATACCAAAAAATATTCCACTGGGGTCTCAGTTTTGCATTCAATCATCTAAACGTGCGTATGAATTTGTATGTTGCACTGCATCATTTAGCCGTGACACAGATCGAGACATACATATATGTATACTAACCAATTTCCATTTACAGGAAACATTTCAATGTGCACGAGTGTATGTAGTTACCTATACGTATACGTAGATAGGTGTGTAGGTAGGTACTCATTCGAACGCAGATGTGCAAGAGTGCTCTCGAATACAAACACACTTGTAAAAATAAATACATACACACACTCGTACCATTTACATACATATGTACGTACTCGTACATATCCATCTGCACGCGCACACTCGATTGATGACTTACAAATGTACAAAGTTTGAATTACAACTGCTTGCCAGTTGCTGAACTGTGGATAGAGGCCTTGTGGGGCCGGTGCCATAGCCTGGCACTGCTGACTGTCATTGAGGCATTGCCACATCAACAAGAGCATTACTCACATCCAGCTCCTAATGGGAGGGGCGGTCGGAGAAGAGGTGAGCAAAATGGAGCAGCAGCCAACCACATTAGTAGCCACTTCTGGCCGCCGATAAGTGCGCGCCGAGTCAACCGCGCCGCAACACATCTCCAACTAGCATTACCTCTCATCCTCCGCCTAACTGCATACATACTCGTACACTCCTCTCTTCCAAGTGCTAAGTGTATTTTGGCGCTGCTGGGTAGCACATAAGCATGGGTCAACCCATGTCAAATCGACCAATGGTTGGAATCGACCCATTTTGATTTGGATGAATTTTGATCAGAACTTGTCTTTAATCAAATAACAAAGTTTTGCCAAAGGAAAAAATTAGAAATTTTTTCGGAAGCTGTGCAAATTTCTAAGTTTCACAATTTCCGGAATTTCGCAAGTTTATTTTTGAATATCTCAAAAACAATTATACATATGTAGTATAAAACTGGTGCGGTTTCATTTTAAAAGTTATGCTTAGGGTTATAAAGAAAAAATAATAAAAAGATACGAAAAATAAAAACATTACAGAATTTTGAACTTAAAAATTCCTAAGAGCCACAGTTATTTCTAGGCAAAAAACATAACCAACTTCATTGCTCTTTAAAAATTTAGGAGTACAGTTAATTTCTTCAAGACACAATAATCGGAACTAAACCAAATTAGTATGCCACCTTTCCGATAAAAAAGAATAATCGAAAACGGTTCCAAGATCATCCCATAATATACATGAAAGAAAATATTCCGAGGAATTGATTGAAAACTTTCCTCCTTAAAATAATGTTTGACTCAATTTCTTTGATATGTGCAATATTTCTAAAAGATCCTGAAATTTTCAAGATGTTTTCTATAAAATATGAAATTTTTAAAATTTGAAAGAAAACCCTTTTTTCAAAACTCTAAGTAAAGTTATGTTAAACAACTTTAATTTATTTTTAATTTAGAGTTTGAAAAAAAAAAATCTTTTTTACCAACAATATCTATAAGTTTTTTCCTTTACGATTTTTTAATTTCAAAATTCTGTTAGTTTTTATTTTTGGACTTTCTTTAAATTCATTTTTTTATATAGCCCTTTAAAACGAGGCCAGATACATTTTTGTAACTATAGTAGATTTTGAGATATTCCAAAAATTTACTTACGAAATCCGGAAGATTGTGAAATTTTGAATTTTCGAAAATTTTTATTTTTTTCATGATCGTTTAAGATCAGTTAGAGGTATTGTAAAAAAAATTAACCATCAATTTCTATAAGTTTTTGCTTTTAAGATTTTTTAAATTTCAAAATTCTGTAATTAATTCTTAGTCAATTTTTTATATAGCTCTTTAAAACGAGGTCAGAAACATTTTTGGATCTATATCAGTTTTTGAGATATTCAAAAAATTTAATTGAAAAATCCGGAATATTGTGAAATTTTGAACTTTCGAATATTTTTTTCAATTTTTTTTTGCAGAACTTCGTTATATCATAAAAGAAAAGAAATTACCAAAACTCATGCAAATCAAAAATGTTCGATGCCAACCACCAGTCGATTTGGCATGGATTGACTCGCATATTTTCAGATACGTATGTATGTGTGGAGTACTTTTAGCGCATTTGGAACACATTTGCCAGCCAGCATCAGCCAACTGGGCCATTTTCACTATTTCACTTACCTCTGATCGTGATGATGATGTTTGTTTGCCGATGAGAATGTATCGAAAATGTAGTTCAGCATTGGCGCATCGGTCTTCTGTGGTTTGGGCAGTACGTATTTGCTTTCCACCTTCTTTGCAACAGAGCTACGCTGTCGTCCTGTGGCACCGGAACCGACAGCGGCCGTGGCGGCAGTAGTCAACGTGGCGGAAGATTTTGACTTTGAATTGTGCTGCTGCTGGTGCACCGCCGCATGTTGGTGCTGCTCGGTGGCCAAAGTGGTTTTTGTTTTCGCTGTCGTTTTCAAAGCGATGCGCTGTGAGCCAAGATGTTGCATGTTATTGTTGTTGCTGTTGCTGCTGTAGTGGTTTTCGTTGGTCGTTTGATTGCGCACACCAGCACCAGCACCTGCTTCGGCGACGGCGATGGCGACGGCACTTCGATCATATGCCGATTTGTGATTTGAAGTGCTTACGGCCATTGCACTATCGGCGAATGAGTCAGATAAATCGGCTGATGTTAGAGAGGCTGACTGTGCCGCTGCCGTTAAGCTTACTGCGGCGGATGATGACAATGATGACGCTGATGATGGCTCTAACTCTGTTTTTGAAGATGTCAAGGACATATCCGCCACCATTTCCTGCCTCATTGCGGACATTTCCATATTATGGTCGTTCAAGCTTAATAACGATAAGGACATCAAATTGTCCTGTGTTTGATTATTATTACTGCTATCGCTATTGTAATCGTTGATATTTATGCTACTATTGTTGTTGTTATGGTATTTGTTGCTATTGCTGTTACTACTAGCGTACGCATTCATCCTCGGCGTCGCACTCTCCTCACTCATCAAACTCGCACTGACAGCGTCATCCGTCGTCCGACGCGTCAGCGAAGCAATATGTTTCGACATGACGTAATCCATATTATCGATTTCATGCGAATCTGAAATGCAAATAGCAGATAGTCGCAATGAAAAAAAATGTAGAAAGCGTGAGTGAATGCAAAAAGAAAGAATACACAGTAGAATAATGTGGATGAATCAGGAGCAATTACAAAGTTGATTGGGCAGAAACAATAAACAAATATGTACATACATATGTATGTAGCTTAGGGTAGTCCTTAATTGTAGGAAGCCAATTTTTACATCAGATTTCCAACGCCTCCACCCCTACGTCGATGCTATTGTAGTCGAAGGTATCACATATGGCGTGTCGCACAAGGGGCAAAGTTCAGATTATCCGTCGTCTTAACCGTCTCCAATTGGGACAAAAATTTATATGCGATATTCTCGACTTAAGTAGTACCGACTTTGGGCATTAAGTGGAAATAAAATATTTTTAATTTTTTAAGTCCCCTCAGGCATCTGGCCTTTGTGACACGCCTTAACCGACTTCAATCGGGACTAAAATTTATTTGTGATTTCTGTGACATTGTTATTGCCGATCAAGGGGGTGAGACTGAAAAAAATCGCTCATTTGATTTTTTAAGGACCACCCTAATGCAGCTAAATACATAGCACATAGATATATTCGCAAAGCCAGACAATGACGCACAAAATTTCCATACATTTATGAGAACATATGTATGTATGTTTATACACACAATTCGACGTGACTCTTTAATAAAGAATTTAATGTTTAGCAAGTTAAAAAAGGAATTTAAGGGTTTCATTTAAAAAATATAAGCAATTTCTTTAAGCTTAAAATTTAATTTAACTCAAAGGATACTTTGAAATTTTAGAACAAAGCAAGAAAATACCGCATCGAGGTGATAATAGATTTTTTGAGAAAAGTACACTATATACATTAGGGTGCCCATCGACAATGCCTTCTTGGAAATTTCAAGACCCTACCCCCTAATTTTATTAATTTTTATGAGAAATATTATTGAAAAATTATAGATTTTTTAAAGGCTATTTAAAGGTCGATTTTGTAGATTGATGAGTTTTTGAATGACTATTTTTGATTCGATTTCAAAGATCGAGTATGATCTGAGAACAGGATATATAGGCCTTTACAATGGCATTAAATAATCTATTGTCAGACTTGACTTGTTGGGACTTTTTATCGGGTGAAATAAAAAAAAAAAAATATTTCTCTTCAATTTTTTAAATTTTGACCATCGATAATTTCCACAATTTCGAAATATGCAGTACTATCTAAAATTAAATCTATTTTTTATTATTTTAGCTCATTTATTGCAATCGCATAAAAATTGTCGAAGGTTGACGACTTTTCTTAAATACGGCCTTGAATTTATATTGTTTATGTACCGGACCTTCAGATTTTTTAAGCAATGTGGCTAAGGAATTCATCAATATTAATTCAAAATTGATATATACAATCGCTCTTTATCAAAAAATTAGTTTTTCCAAAAATTTTAGGAAAATGGGAGTTGCACCGCCCACTTATATCATATACATATGTTTGTCTCAAAAACTACTTGACCGATCATACATGACTTTTTTTCAAAAATGCGTTAATTAAACATTCATTTATTGCTGTCTTCGTTTGTTTCCCAAATTTAGATATTACAGCGGGGGTTGATCTGTATCGTTTTGCAGGAAGCCGGAGGATACTTTTATGGATTTGGTACTCTGTGAAATTCTATTCAAATGGTGGCTTTTCCTGGTTCGAGAGCACACTAATGGCATCCAACTAGTTGCGAATGAAGGGTTTTGGTATTTTTTATTAGCAAAAAATATTTTATTTCATTTTTTAATCTAACGCACGCGTTATCCCGTCGTTTTTTTAATAAAAGCAAACCAACTGTGAAGATAAATGTCGTTCCACACTGATCCGCAGCTTTGGGTCGACAAAGCAAATATTATTATAATACTATTGTAAGCTCGATAATTTTTAGTGCCTAAAAGTTTTTTTCTTTGTCCTCAATGCATAATGCTGACAAGCCGTAAAGCCTTATGGGCTCTTTGGCTGGAATATTGTACACTGCAAAGCTGCCGTGTGAAAATTAAAAAAAAAAAACATTATTAAAATTCTTTTAAAGCTGCATTACTTAACAATGCCTCAAAAAGGTCTCGGGAAATTTTGTATTCCCGTTTTTTAGGAAACAAAAGTGAGCAAAAAGAAATTTTATAAATTTACAGTAGCAAAAATATAGATAGGAACGCGACATTTTAACAAGTTTTTTTTTTTTTTGTAAAAATATAGATCATTACCTAACATTGAGTTTGAAATTATTTTACAAAAGTTAAGAAAATTCGACAAAGTTTCATAAAATTTAGTGTTAGCAAGTTTGAATGGCCTAGGTCTTGCTATTGCTTTTTGGCAATTCTTTTTGTTGGGAGTGTTGCTAATTTTCTCCACATAAAAAAATTGTCGAGCATACTTTTTATAAAAGATAACGCGTAACAACGTCGCAAAAAGTCTCCAACAATCAACGGTATTTTGTAGCGACTTCAAAACTGAGTCGCCCTCAAAACTGTATTCTCAAAATCCTTAAAAGAAATCAAAAAATAAAAATAAATAATTAAATAAAAAAAAGTCCAACAATCAACGGTATTTTGTAGCCACTTCAAACTTGCACTTTATTATACTAAAATTGAATCGGCTACAAAACTTTATACTCAAAATCTTTCTAAAAAATCTAAACTTCTTAATTTTTGTATAAAATATGAAATTCGAACTGACATGATTTACTAAAATTTACTAGGCCACAGAACTGCATACAAAAATTCGTTCTAAAATTTACTTAAAAAGTTTCAAAATTTTATGCAAAATAAAAAAAAATTGCAAAAATGTTAAAAAATGTTGCGTCCCTATTTATATCTTCGCCACCGTATGTTTGCAATGGAATATTTCTGAATATTTATGTATGTACGTTAGGGCGGAGTAATTAGTTCGGAGGAAAATTTTCGAAGAAAGTCTACAGTAAATTTAAATTCAACGATTAATTCTAAACAAAAATTGCGAACAACTATACAACAAAAATACTGGTTGACCCTCCCAATTAAAAAAAAAGCTGTATATTGTAACTTTTTGTAGAAATTTATTTTTCATTGTACCAAGAAATTACATACATAATTTTTTTATTTTCTCGGTTTTGTGATGTAGTTTTCTAAATATGAAGAAAATACAAAACTATTCAAATAAAAAACTCATTTCGTTCAGAAAAAAATAAAATACACTGATTTTTCTTTTAAAAATTGGGAGGGTCAAACGTAATTTTTGGTATATACTTTGTTCGTCATTTTTGCTTAGAATCTAACAAAGAATTTCAAAATTAAATTACTCCGCCCTAATGTACATATAGCACACTAATTTCAGCGCCTAAGTGTATGCCATCAAAGTTTTAACGAGTTGCGACGAAAGATACTTTACTTGCATAAATAAACATATACATCGACTTGCACGTAAGTGGAAACCCTATACTTTTTATGGGTAGACATCACGAAAGCGACAAATGAATGATTGTAATTGATTGCCATATTGAATATCACCCTTTTTTTCAGTCCCAATTTTATTAAAATTAATCGCTGCAGGCCCAACAGAGTGTACCCTTGCTGGACCTTGGCAATGATATATTGAATTTAAATTGATGGTTATTCATACGCCACCAACAGCACAGACGAAACAATACTAATTACAGGCTATTCATCGTTGCATTAACATAAGTTATGTGTGTAGATGTGTATGTATGTATGTAGTTGGATGAAATAAGTTGAATTTGCAAAAAAAAAAAACAAACAAAAAAAATTAAAGTGGAAACGTCATGAAAAATGTTAATAAAATGGCTTTCTGACGTTGAAAAATTAAATTTCAAATTAAAATTTTATAAAAAATGTTTTACGCTGTTTTAATTACATTGCAAAAAGTAGCTACTATTTATTTTTGCACATGTATAATTCACTGCCATCCAAATAGTAAGCACGGCAAGTTATTCTGCTGCTGCTAATTAAGTAATTCCTTTTCCCGTTTTAATTCATGTATATGTAAATATAATTAAAATTATATTTGTAAATCCATTTGCTAAAGTCTGTAATCAGCCAGAAATTATGGCACATCAAAGATAGCAAACAAACATTAAAAACTTAACACACATTTGTATATAATTGCAAATTGGTAAATATGTAAATGGCAACACTCGCAATCCATGGGTGGATACTCAATGGCGCGAAACTGAAATTTACTGTTTAAAATATGTAGTTCAGAACATTCATTTTCTTTCATATAAAGTGTGTTCGATTATAAGGGCCTAGTGAAGCTGCATGACTTTGAAACTCTAAAATTTAATTTAACTTAAACAGCTGGCAACCCTGCTTAAAAATCTTAATTAATATTTCAAATGTTTCACTTAAACCGTCCACCCATTTCTGAGTTAACAGAGAACTGGCGTGGTGTCGAGTTTACATTTCATCAAATTTCAAAACATTTCTATAAAAAGTTCAACTTCAAAAAATTTTACATTATTGCACATCTACGAGCATAATTCTCTGATAACACATCTCGCCTTTGAAATAAGAAATAATGGTGCAGATCTGATAGCGTTCACAGGAAATAATTTCATATATTCTACATAGGTGGCAACCCTAATAAAAAATATATTTTTTTTTAATAATTGATTTTAAACAATTTAAAGCTAATTTTTTAAAAAGGGCCCCCTTTTTAAGAAACAGAAAACGAAACATCATTTATTGAAAATCGAACGAACGGCTGATGACCTGAACAAGAATTCCCTTTGAGTATGATGTAGGGTGTCCAAGACCACCCGTCAATCCCCTCTAAAATGGAGGAAAATTTAAATTATCAAGTCAGGGATGCTCTCTCTACCTTTTGATCGTATTACCGACTTCAGGTTTCGACTGGAAGTGAGCTAAACCAACCGGAAGTGCTTGACTAATAAATTGAAAACACTAGAACAGTTACGTACATGTGAGCTCAAACCGCTTCCCGACGAAATGCTTGAAAGTAGTTGTGGTGGAA